CCAGGTAAATTAGTTTCCAGTTGGAAATCAGAGAAGAAATCAGAGACAGAGCCATGAGTCAGTGCTGCCAAAGCAAGGACCAAGAAGGACCAAGGCACTTCGCTTGAATATGTGATAATTGGGCTTCTAGCTTTTTCAATAGACTGCACAAAGGTCCCTGAGTCGTTAGTCCTTGGGCGTGTAATTTCGTGCTTTGCCGCTTGCCTTAATTGCAGTTCCCAGAAAACGAAAAAGCTTCAAATATTTTCCCCTAAAATTGTATGCACAAAATATAGATATACATTTTGCATGTGCAAGAGATAGAAAATAAAATATTCAGCAAAAATGCAGGCAAAAGAATTTTACATTTATCAGAGCCAAGTATCAAACACGAAAATGTTTGCCAAATTGCAATATTTTTGGCCTCCATCGATACGAATATATTTGCAGCAAAGTGCTCAACAGTTTTAAATATTTCATGGGGGAATTTTTCAATTGCTAAAACTCAATTTATGGGCAGGGCTTTAATGTGGACACATGAATACGATAGAGACTGCCATTGAACAATGTGGCACGTGCGACGTGGGTTGGGCGGGGGCTGCTGCTGCTCTGCGAAAAGAAAGTGCGAACAAAGTATAAATCTTGGGGCAAAGCCATTGTCTGGGAAGCCCCAACCCGCATCCGGATGTGGAGTAGGAGCCGGAAACCAAAGCCGGTTTAGTATAGCAGCCAGAGCCAGAGCCAGAGCCAGATCCAATGGCAAAGCCGCAGCCAAACATCGAAGCACTTAGCAACTGCCTAATTTATGGTTCTGGTCCTGGTCCCTGTCTGACAATGTGCTGGGAGAAATGTGAATGGGTAGGGCCAGACGGCACACACACTAAACTCGTAGAGCAACTGGCAGACGATTAGCCACAGACGATTGCACTGAAACAAAGCTTGGTAGGGGGCTGGGATTGGTGGCAGGATTAGAATGTGGATGGGGAAGCATACACACACAGGCAAATCGATTCCCATTTAAATATTTCTGGAACTGCAGCGACTGTGCTGCCTGGCTGACTGGCATCGCTGCTGGAATAATTGTAATTGAATTAGACTGGATTGTTTTTTGGCATGTCCTGCTTATGGTTGGGGGGAGGCTGCTGCCACATGCATGTCTATCTAACTGCGTTTTGGCTTCCATTGGCAACCGCGATAGTCACGTAGTTCGGCAAAGAGTTCCCGCAAAGCGCACACCAAAATGTATGTAAAGTTGTTGCTTTGTTTTTACACACACAAACAAGTAAAAAATAAAATCAGAGAAACACTGAAACGTGCCTTTTGACATTTTGCAATGTATTTTGATGCCGTGGAATATCGAATATGAGAGTTGCCAGTGTGTGTGGATGCTGCTCCTGACAAATTGAATTTTGCTGCTGCCAAAAATGTTATCGATTTGATATTTGAATGTAGTCGAAGCACACACACCCACACACACACACACACACACACAGAGAGAGAAAGAGGGGCCTGGCAGCAACAGCATTAGGGTCAATTACCGTTCAAAACTGAATTGTCAACAGAGTCCAGTCCTCTCTCCCCCCCACTCAAAAGAGAGAGAGAGAGAGAGAGCAACGTCTCCTACGTATGTATGTATGTACGTGATACCCACTTGATTGTTAGTGTGTGTGTGTGTATATTTTTTTGGGTGGGTGTGTTTGTGTGTGGGTGCACTTTCATTATCTGTGCAAATATTTGCTCAGCACGACAGTTGGCAGTCGCTCGTCTCCTGCCGGTCGTCACATGCGAGCGAGAGAGGTTGCCAGCTCGACACTTTTGGGCTTCCTAGCGCAAGTTTTAAGCCGCTTAGTGCTTGTGTCCCCTGTCCCCTTCCCCTGTGTCCCCTCTGCAAAGTGAAAGTTATTGTAGAGACGACAGACACTCACACACACACACACATCAGCACAACGACCCTTGCGGTGCACATTTCATAAATGTGGTAAAAGAGAAAAACTATTTTCATGTTGTTTAGTTGCGTGCGCTTTTCCCCGAAGTTTCGGGCTCTCTCATGTTGTCCCTCCTCAGCTTTTTGTCTAGAGAGAAACTATGCACAAAGTTTTCCCAGAGGACGGGGTGGGCCATCCCTACGAAGGGTTTGTTGTAAATATTTGCCTTTGTGGCATGAATGCAAGCACGTCTCAAGTTTTGACTTCAATACCCCACCTGAAGCGACATTTTGGCCAGGAAGTTGATGTGTTAACTGTGCAACAACAAGAACAGGCATCAGCCATCAAGTTAGGTAACTTTCTCAACCATATATGAAAAATAAATGCCAACGTGTGTGCATGTTATTGAGATATTTTCAATTTGCATTTGGAAACCAACTGCTTGGGGGTGGGGGAGTTGTGTACGGGTTACATGCTCGAGAAATCTAATACAGTAAAGGTTTGGTTTCTCTCTTACCTTTTGGGCAGTAGCAGCATTTGAGCGGTTACATAGTAAGGATAAACGGTGAACGCGCGATGATTTTCGAGAGAACGATTTACGAAACGAAAACGCACAGGCACAACAAAAAGAATTGAAATAATTCCAAGCACATTTCAATAGGAGCCCATATTTTGGGTAGATTAATATAAGGTGACGCATAACAGCATTGAACTTCGTATGTAAACAGTACCGAGAGAGGTCAGATCACCACAACTTCATCTCACCATGCAATGAGAGCGCGTTGACACTCTCTCCTTTCTTATTGCTTTTCTCTTTTTCTTCACACAACTATGCGACGCATTTTTTGCACACACCAACATACGTACACATATTACCAGAGATCACGTGAACCATCGAAAAAACAATTTCTGCATTGACTAACTTGCTTATTCACATTTTGTACATTTAATGTACAAATACACTTTTCACTTTCACTTATTGCCTTATTATTTCCTCTGCCACTCTGCCTATTGTATGCCACTTTGGCGACGGCCGCCGCCACTCTTGATCAGGAATTTTGGGCCTTTTGCTTTTGAATCTCTGCCCCACTATACTGCAACCACTTCACTGCACATCTCACTTCACCAAAACACTGCACAGCACCACACTGAAATTCCGGTAGAATTTTTCATAATATTTCCGATTTTCGCGACCCGAAACGCGGAGCTGACTTAAAACCGCCCGCTTTTTCCGGCCAAAAAATTGAAAGTGTGAGAGCGACGCAGATAGCTTAGTTTCTCGAGCATTCCATTCTCTCCTTCTTATGCGCTTCCTACCTGCTCTCTTATTGACTTTGAATTTGACTTTTGTGTTCTTCGTTTCCCCACCCCAAGAGAGCGAATGTTTGTGCGTTTGATGAGTGACAGTGCTGTGTACCTGGCATGTGATGGAAGAGGGGAAAGCAAAAACAAATCTTTTTCTTATGTGTTCCTTACGCACAGCACTTCAACCCAAAATCGAACGGAACAAATTTCATACTCGAGAAATCTAATACAGTAAATGTTTCAGTTCTCTCTCTTACCTTAACTCTTCGAGTACCGGGTGTAATAAAAACATACATTAATAAATGTATGTGTGTATGTACACAGGTGTGTGCATGTTATTGAGATATTTTCAATTTGCAATTGGAAACCCATGGCTTCGAGGGATGGGGGAATTGAGTGTGTGTACAGCACGGCGTACGTAACAAATTTCATACTCGAGAAAGCTAATTAACTTCTCTTTACGAGGCATAAACTTCCGACATTAAACGCATTTATTTTCATGTGAAAATAAACAAATGCCCCACAGAAACAGAGGAGGAACACCCAATGTTTTGACGGCTTCTTTGTACATCGTGCATACAGATGTGTAAGTATGCAAGTACACGCAAATATATATATATATATTGTATGTTGCTTTATGTATTAAAACGACTAAGGGCACGCCGCGCTCACCCACACTAAGGAGGGGGAGCGGAGGCAGCGTAAATTTACGACTGGAATGTCAAAAGTGGACGGGGGGCCGGGCTGGTATGTCTTTCTGTTTCTGCCTCTGTGTCTGCTGGTACTTAGCAAAGTTGGCGTATTTATTTAGCACGTAGTCAGATGTCCTCCCACGCCAAGCACCTTGGGCACCGGTAGATTTTCTACATGCTTTTAATTAACAAATGCCTCGCAACTGTTTTTGGCAATCATTGAGCGTTAATGCAGGGATAATACGAGGCATAAGGAGGCGGATGTAAATTAAGGTCTTGATTTTCAACGATAGAATATCACAATTCGCTGGGTACTCTGTCCTCCTAAACGCAGACTACACTGCAGGTAATGGCCACCATAAAGTAAGCTATAAATTTCTAATATTGTCCACAGCCAGATGAGGTCTCTCCCGCTCCCGCTCCCGCTCTCTCACTCTCCCTCTCTGTTAGCTGCTCTGTTAAATGATGCCCTCTCAGCTGCGCACTCTCTCGAGCACTGTTATCTGCTGGGATTCCTAGTTTACAAATTACCTTTTGGCATTTATCAACAACTTTCATTAAGTGAAATTGCATAACAAACGCAGTTTTAATTAAATCAAAAGCTCGGTTTCATAGCACACGCACTCCATTATAGCCAAGGTAATGTTTAATTAAACTGTCAGAATCATTTTCCACACAGATTTTAATTACATTTTTTTTTTTGGTTTATGAACATCAATTTTATAACTATTAAAAGCCGTTTAGGCAGAAATGAATTGCTGGCTGCATGTTCAATGGAAACCCCAACAGCATATTTTAGGTGCAATTAAAAGGGGATAATTATCCAAATTACTGAACCAGAAAGTATTGAAAGAACAAAAAAATGTGCACAGCCCGAACTGAAAAGGATTTCCGCTGGCATAGTTTTGTATATTGCTTTATTCCGTATCAAATTTGTAAATTATTTTGTATATAGAGTGTACATTATTTTGTTGTTTTTTTGTTTTACAAAAAATCGGTAGGCAAATGTCAGATGCTCTCGCTCACGCTAATCTAATAAAAAAAGAAAAATACAAATGAAAAGAAATTATTTTTTAGATTGATTTATCGTTGGTTTTTCTTAATTCCACTTTGTTGCTTTATTATTACAAAATTACAAATTTCAATTTATTCCAAAAATACAGCTTACTTTTTAGTTAGAACGAGAATTACTGAATTTCGTAAGCGAAACATGTCTGACGTTGCTCCACACTCAATCCTTTCGCTCGCTAAACTCGTTATGTCTGACATTTAACAATTTAGCGGCGAGTGCGCTGGACGTCAGCTAGGATGCTTTGCTTCGAATCTACCAATAAGCTATTGTCATGGGGCGTACAAAGATTGAAGCTATTTATAGAAAAGATTTTTGTTTTTTGTGTAAATATCCGATGGGTAGGAGGTTGTTAACTTTTAAAATGATTGCGGTTAAGTCTATGCTTTGCCTTTTTGTAAACATTTACAACAGTTTACATGCACTCCCTTCTCCTCTCGCTGCTTTTGTTGTTTTCGGGAGCGCAATGTGTTTAGGTAGTTCGTTAGGTTTTTTTTTATATATTTTTGGCAGGATGTTTTTGTTGTTGTTATATTTTATGTTATATACGTTTAGCGCTTAGCTTTGCAAGCTTGCTGTTTGTTGTTGTTTAGTTTCTGTTTCGGTTCACGCTCAATTGATTTCGCTCGCTAAATGACCTAATATTAAATTATATAAAAATAAATAATCGAAATCATAATCAATAATAGACGACAATAACTATTCTCTTGCTCCTTCTCCTTCCCTTCTCTAACATTCTGCGGGCGTAAACATCATTTTGCATTAGAGAAATTTAAGCGATAACGACGACGACGACGACGAGCTTCTACAAGCAGTTAGTTCTCTGTCTCTCCCAAATTCATCTCTATCTGCCTTCCCAGAGCTGGTCCCAGTTCCAGATTCTAATCCTCATTCTGTGGCGTTGCTGCCGTGGACGTGGACGCATGATCTTTGGCACTTTCGCTGGCTTTGCTTTCAGAGGCGGACGCTGGTGCCGTGGGGCCACTGCCGCTGCCATTCTTGTTGCGCGCATCCGTCTCATCGCCATTGCCGGCATTGGCCTTGGCCTCCAAGGCACGTATGCGATTCTCCTGCTTCACAATGATCGCTTTCAGTTTTCGTATCTCATCCTGAATGCTGCGCAGATCTTGTTCCTATAAGAAATGAGTCCATTAGCTATTGAATACACTTTTTGCAGTCCAACTACTCACCGATAAAACCGCTGCTGGTGGTCCACCCTCGCTGGCATCATTATTATTCGCAGCTGCGTTATAGCCAATGCTTAGACTGCTGCTGCCCGCGCCGGAACTGCCACCGCCGCCGCCGCCGCCGCCTCCTCGTGGCTTGTTGAGTATGTTCGCCTTCTTGTTGACCGACAGCGACTTGCTGGCCGATGAGGAGACATAGCCACCCTGCACAATAGAGACGCGATCCTGATTAGGTTTATTAGAATATCTGTTCGTTACGGAACACAACAAGGAACAATGAACACAACAACAAGCGCCACAAGCGGCGTGCGTATTAAAGGTATCGAGTGTCAAAAGCCAAGAGGATCAACAAAACTGATGGATCTGTGTGTGTGTGTGTTGTGTGTTGTGTGTTGCTGTAGCTGTGGCTGGGCAGACGAGACACAAACGTAGATAACTCAGAAGCAAGCAAGAGGCGTAGGCAGGACAATTGGGGTAGCCGTAGCTGTAGCTGCAGCTGCAGCTGGAGCAACTAGAACAAGCCGTTGGAATACATTTTGCCACGGCACAGGAGCAGCGACTGCCTCAAACAACGTCGAGCCGCATTGCCGCCTGTGCGTGAGCCACGGAGAATGCTGCTGCTTTGGGTTTCCTCTCTCTCTCTCTCTCTCTCTCTCTCTATATCCAATGTACGCTCTGGCTGCGGGGCGAAACAGCCAATAGCCAGACCATTCCCCACTCCGCTGTGAGCGCTGTATTCCCAACGTTTTGGAGGATGCAGTCGGCAGGCAATGGGCACTTACTTTGAGCGAGAATGTCAGGGGATCCGCATCCTTGCCATCGATCCACTCCTCGGCTGTGGTGGCGGCATCCTCCGCTAGCGTATCGGGATAGAGATCCTCCTGAAACAGATCAGACTTGCGGGGCACAGTCATTGAGATGACCTGACACAGGCCATTGTTGTTCATGCGATAAAACTTGGCCACCTCGCAGGTGGTAACGTCACAGCCACGCTTTGGCATCAGGCCAATGCCGCGTTGCGGCTCTGTTGTCTGAAATGTGTTGATGTAATGCACAAACGGTGGCTCGGGCGTGACCTGCAAGAGTTTGGGCAGAGGAGCGTGAGTGGCAGATTCCTATTGGATGTGCGATCGTTTACCCACCTCAAAGTACCTAATGACTGAGTCACCCTTGCCGCACAAATAAATCATATTGGTATCCGCATCGTACAGCGGGAACATGACGCCATTCGACGTATCCAACTCCACCATGACAATGGGTTCGTTGAGCGCATCTGGGGCACGCAGCGAGTACTGGCGCTCCGAGCTGCGATTGAAGCCGGTGGTAAAAATGAGGCCGTGACGCAGGAAGATGGCGCGCGTCGCCTTTGAGCCCTCGTGGCACATGGCCTCGCTCTCCAGTTCAGCGGTGCGCGGGTCGTAGATGCGGATTTTCTTGTCCTTGCAGGTGGTGACCAGCTTGGAGCCGTCCCAGTTGAAGCAGGCGCTGTACACAATGTCCGGGTGCGAGTCAATGTGCACGAGGATCTCGCCAGTGCCCACATTCCAAATGACAACCTGAAGGACAGAGAGTTCAAGCCTTCAGTTAGCTGTGCCCAAAGGAATCTTTCCTGGCCATCCGCTCACCTGATTATCCGAGCCGGCGGTTAGCAGCACATTGAGTGCCGATGGATGCCACAGCACCAGTCCCACGCGTCGCTGATGGAACACCAAATCGACCACAGGCTCGGTGAGCGTGCGCGACAGTCCGCCGTCGGGTATCTGCCACACTTTGACCACACAGTCCTCCGACCCAGAGGCGATTACATTGTCGTTATGCGGGCACCAGGCAATGTCCAGCACGGGTCCCTTGTGTCCACCCACCAGCGGATGATCGGCCGCAATGCGCCCAACCTGAAAACAGTTCACGAAAATTGCCATTAGTGCGCTTTTTTTTCTTTTTTCTTTTTTCTTTTTGCTTTTTGCCAGATTTAGTAATTAATTTTGCTTGCGTCAGCGACACATTGGCCCAATTTTCGGCTCATTATTTATAGCCGTAGACTCCATAGACGGCGGCTGCACTTTTGCTGCCTTTCTGCTCAATTCGCTAATCTTCGACGCACTCCACAGCATTTCGTAATTCATAAACTTCATGCTGGCTGCCACTTGGCGGCAAGCGTGAAAAATGTTTCGACTTAAGGCGGGAATACATCGTCGAACAGATGTGGGAATACTCGTATGGAGGATGCGGATGCAGGATAGGGCATGGAGTTTGCCATGGGAATAAATGCCACGACTTTTGGATCACTTTTTATATAAATAATTTAAATTAATTTAAGTTGAGTGGCAAAATATTTGGATACAAATCTGACTGTAGAGTTTTTTAGGAGATTTCATGTGCAGAATTATAAAATTATTAAATTGAAAATTTTATTTTTAAACAATTTTTTTTTTAATTTTTAATTTAAAAAAAAAATTTTTAATTAGAAATTATCAATTGAAATTATCAAAAAAATAAATTTTTAATAGCTTTTTTTTTGCAATTTTTAATTAAAAAAAAAAACATTTTTGTGTTTAAATTTATTTTATTTTTAATTTGAACATTTCTGGATGTATCATCGAAAAGGGATGGATATTTTTTGGTATGAATTTAATTTTTTATGTATCATTTTTTTTAATTTTTTAATGAATTCTTAAAAAATGATTTGTACTTTTAGTTTGTAGCATACAAATCCTGTTTCTTGAATCCTATTGCCTCACTTGCCACCTGCCAACCTTGACTACTGGAAAAATCTCTAAACTCGCCACAAGCTGGTGGCCGAGCAAAGCCAAATCCAGTGCTCATAAAATATGTAAAAATGGAGCGTGTGAAAGCCGCTCCACATAGCAAATCGTCGCTTAATAAAGAACGGCAGCTAAGAATACAAAAAAAGAGCAAATCAAAAACTTTCGTAGCTGCTCGGCCGCACACATTTTGCATACAAATTTGTTCCACTTAGAAGAACAACACGCTAGAGCCAGAGGCTAGCCACTTGCCAGCTGCCAGCTGCCAGCTGCCACCTGCCTATAAATGCGTTTTGACCAAATGCGGGGAAGCCGTGGATCAGCGCGAGAAAAGTGCGGCGGCCGCCCACGCAGCCAGCAACAGAGGAAGAACGGATGGGGAGAGTGAAAAGGAAAACTTATTATGAGAATATGTAACATGGATGGATGTACTTTATGGCCAACAACCAGCAGCAGCAGCAGCAGCAGAGGTCGTGTGTGTGTGTTGCAATGCAAAAACCACTCGTAAATATCAATTTTTGGCTGTCTCGCTGCCTGTCTCTGTCCCTCGGTTGTGCCTCTCTTTTTGCTGGTAAAATTAGACAATTTGGTTTGTCATGTTGGCTCTTGGCCAAATTACAACCGAAAAGAGCAACGCAGCGAGAGAGCCGAGAGAGAGAGAGAGATCTGCAGAAAATTCATAACTATAAATAAATTATTGGTAGCATTCGAATCCATCGACGTCACACGCGACTCGCTCGCTCCTCAGTGAGTCCTCGCCCAAAAATGGCTACAAAACTTTATGCCAAAAAAGAGTAACCTATAAATAGTTGTGGCCATTGTTCGGTTTATAAATACGGAGACTGCGGGCTACGCCGTGTGAATATTTATAACACAAAAACGATGCATCTGTGGCCTATGGCTAATACTCACTTTGTTGTGTGGCAAAACGATAAACGCACCACCGCCCGCCGACTCCACAATGATGGCCAGGAACTTTGGATTGACGGCGCAGAATGTGGAGTCCCAGCTGGACTTGGACACACGTATATTGTCGTAGCATTGCTCCCGCTTCAATGCCTGGCCATAGACGTGGCGAAATTTTGAACTGCGTACCACCCGAAATGACATCTTGAATGTGTGTGTTTTGCTGTAGGTTCGCTCTCTAAGGGGTTCGCAGGTCAGCGGTCAGCGGTCAGTCGCTTGTGGAGTTGGAGTTGTCTCTGTGTCTGTCTGCAAATAAGAGAAAACTCGATGTTTAAACTTCAACAAAGCCAAACCCGAAGTTGGAGCGACGCATAAACGATCATTAGCTGCGCTCCGCGTTGTGTTTTTTCTTTCTCTCGAATTTGTTTTATAAATTAGCATATGCAAAAATCAATAAGCTTTCCCAAAACTATTGTATTGCAACGCGCACGATTATGGCATCTGGTTGTATCAATCCCAAAACCGGAAATTGTAAACTGAAGACACGAAGCGACACCCAGTCGAACGTGTCGAATTATTTACTTAGTTGGAGTAGAACCTCTTGGAACCCCTTCTGGTTATATGAGATCATAATGCTGAAATATGAACCTATAACCATAATGAATCGCCTGCCAACACGTGAATTATGGCCACAAAACTCCCAAGCCCACAAAAAAAAAAAATAACTCTAACACACTTCGCGAGAGAGAGAGCGAGTGAGAGAGAGACCTTCTAGATAGCCACGGAATTCGCTTTGTATTTCTGGGTTGGGCTCTGCCATCCGACCAGCTTTCGTTTTTAATCAGAAAAAGTGCCGCACAAATTGTTTTACTTTTTATGCTTTGTTTTTGCTTAAAAGATATTCCATATATTTATGACACAAAACTTTGTCATTGACCCGCTAAAAGCAACCAAAAAAGAACCCAAAGAGCCATCAAAGTATATTTCTGGCCCCAAGGTTAGCCCTTGGGCTCTGCGGACTGTGTGGCTGTAGCTGTTCTGGGGTGTTGGCCAGTGGTTTGAGAGGGCTATCGTGGCTGGCGCTCTGCTGATAAAGAAATAATATCAGGCCAAGTAGGAGCGCTGCCTAAATACAACCTAAAGATACCGTTCGAGTGATTCAGCTCGTGTTGGAATTGCTTGAAGACTCCAAAAATGAGCACACACAAAATGTATCTATACATATAGCTAGATGTCTAGCTACATCTATCTCTATCTATGTGGCATGTATTGGATATATTTATTTGTGTTTTTATATGCCAAACACCTTCGCTTTGCAGGCGGGAAAAATTGTTTGGTTGAAGGTCAAATACTTATTAATAGAAAATTAAATCATCTTTGGGTGAAAATTTTATTCATACACACAAACACACGCACACACACACACACATAGAGAGTGAGTGAGATGTAAATCGCATTTGATGTGTTTATTCATTTCGTTGGCATTTACCATGCCCCATGCCTGAGCTATCAGCCTCGCCTCAATCTTGCAGCCCCTCCTCCTCCCCCCCCCCCCACTCCACCACTTACTATTTCCAAATGCCAAAAAGCGGCTTGCACTTGCACTTGCTCTCTCTTGTGTTTGTTTTTGCTTTTGCTTTTGCCTTTGTCTCTCTCTCTCTCTCCTTTTAAAGAGAAGAGCAGCCCTAGCAGCGATAAAGGTCTTCCCACATAACGGAAGTTGCTACTCATACTTGTGCATAATCGTTTAAGTGTGTGTAAATATCGTATTAAGAATTGTATAACGAGAATGCCTTGCGGGTGGTGCGATTGACGTGCTTAATGGCAGATTAAACGGGAATGTGACGCCAGAATATAGAGGGAAGGATCTGGTTGATCGCATATACAACTTTTTATAGCAGTTTTCCAGCAGAGAGATCTACACTTAAAGCTCCCCTCTCTTTTTTCAAAGTCCAAGTGACCTGTCACCTAACTCTTAACACTCACTGTGCCCGCCAGCCGCCTGCCTGTTTATCGTTTGATGTTAATGTTGCCCCCTTTGCCTCGAGCGACTGTCGCCCAAACGCTTGCAATGGTCCAGCGGCTCCCTAGGCTGCCAATCTCTCGAGCGGCACACTGGCCACAAATCGACTTAATGCTTGATTGCAAATCTTGGCGCTTTGTTCACCGGCCAATTCTAATTGCTAACAAATATGGTTGTATCGAGAGAGAGTGAGAGCGAGTGGGAGAGAGACGCTTGCAGGGATGGCAAGAGGAAGAGAGAGAGCGCGAGAAGTCATCTCGGCGGCGGTGCAGTCAATTAAGCGTAGTAATTTCCAGCAGCAGCAGCCGCCGCCGCAAATGCACTGCAGTCGAATGTGAAATAAAGTTCAAGTGATGAAGGAGAAGGGAGTAGCAGAAGGGGGGGGAATGTTCCACTGTGCTCCAATTGCGCCAATGGAGGCCCCGTTACAATGTTCCATTGTGAATGCGGCAGGGCAGGCAGTGTTGTGGCATCTAATAAGCTCACAATGGCGAAGGTGTCACCATGATATTTGCCTCATAATACGAAGAGGCATGCAGCAGCATGCATTCATCAGTGAGTCATCCGCACCACAGATGTCCGATAAGTGATGCGGGGGGGTGGAGTAGAAGTGGGGTGGGCAGGGCTTATCGGCTGTCAGCTGCATTGAAAACTTTCGCTGTCGATGATGTCATTGATGCACTGGGGCAACGTCATTGGATATTCGTTTAAGGTTCATCAAACTGTTTGTTTGTCCCCACCCCTCCCCCTCTATGCACTGTTTTTGTTTGACTGGCGGATTAACTTGAAATTTTGACAAAAAAACGCGCAAGTGTCGAGGCTTGGTGGGTGTCGCCGTCCCCGTCTTCCCATTCGTTCGTCTCCATTGTCGTTGTCTTTGGCTGTTTGAGTGAAAGTGGAACTCTGTTGCTAAAATTAACTACTTGCTGCACATGCAACACCCAGCCCCTGATCTGTCTACCCCTCTGCCACAAGTGTGGCGGCGGCTGCCGCTAGTTGTTGCTGTTGTTGTTGCTGCTGTCTTAATTGCACAGCACAGCGATGCAGCCTCTGCTCTCTCTCTCTCTCTATGCTTCTTCTTACCCACCGTTTTGTCTACTTGTTGCTATTTTCTGCTTAGTCAGACTGGGCGGCCACAGTCGGCCGTTTGTTTGGTCGTCTTTTTGGACACTGTCGCTTAATTTACATATTTCTCTCTCTGTCCCGCGCTCTTTCCCACTCTCTGTATAGATACGTGTTCGTGTGTGTGTGTTGCGTTTATGCGATTGCTTGAATTGCGATATGCAGCTGATAACCGCAATAAGCAAGAACAGCTGTTCAGCGATAGGAGAGGAGAGGCAGATCACCAACTACAGTAGCGTATAAACGTTAATTGGTGTGTGTGTGTTCGTGTGTGTGTGTGTGTGTGTGTGTGTGTGTGTGTGTGTGTGTGTGTGTGTGTGTGTGTGTGTGTGTGTGTGTGTGTGTGTGTGTGTGTGTGGCTGTGTGTGTGCTCTAAATGCTGCAGAGAAAATCAAATTTAAAGCCTGGCCAAGCAAAGGCGAAACAAAAGCATAAAAAAGGAGCAGAGTGAAATGCAAAAAATACACAATAAATGAAATCNCGGATTAACTTGAAATTTTGACAAAAAAACGCGCAAGTGTCGAGGCTTGGTGGGTGTCGCCGTCCCCGTCTTCCCATTCGTTCGTCTCCATTGTCGTTGTCTTTGGCTGTTTGAGTGAAAGTGGAACTCTGTTGCTAAAATTAACTACTTGCTGCACATGCAACACCCAGCCCCTGATCTGTCTACCCCTCTGCCACAAGTGTGGCGGCGGCTGCCGCTAGTTGTTGCTGTTGTTGTTGCTGCTGTCTTAATTGCACAGCACAGCGATGCAGCCTCTGCTCTCTCTCTCTCTCTATGCTTCTTCTTACCCACCGTTTTGTCTACTTGTTGCTATTTTCTGCTTAGTCAGACTGGGCGGCCACAGTCGGCCGTTTGTTTGGTCGTCTTTTTGGACACTGTCGCTTAATTTACATATTTCTCTCTCTGTCCCGCGCTCTTTCCCACTCTCTGTATAGATACGTGTTCGTGTGTGTGTGTTGCGTTTATGCGATTGCTTGAATTGCGATATGCAGCTGATAACCGCAATAAGCAAGAACAGCTGTTCAGCGATAGGAGAGGAGAGGCAGATCACCAACTACAGTAGCGTATAAACGTTAATTGGTGTGTGTGTGTTCGTGTGTGTGTGTGTGTGTGTGTGTGTGTGTGTTGGATGCTCAGTGCGTTTTTCATCCAATATTTTGCCACTAATTGGTGCTGGGAGCAACAGAGACAAACAGCCACAAAAACAAAAATAACTGTGCGTGGGGGCGTACATATGCCAGCTCGCACTTTCTAAGACGCTGCCGCGACGACGATGGCGTTGCTGCCGCCGCCGCCACTGCTGGAGGTCGCTCGTTTTTCACACTTGTTTCACACACACACACACACACATACACTTCCGCCCAGAACAGACACATGCTGTGTCTGATATTCTACGCTTTGACCAACTTGGAGCCACGTTTGTTGCTCCGTTTTGCTACAAATATTTCCAATTTTAAATTATCGTCTCAAGTTGGCGCCCACATCACGCACTTCAAAACGCTGTCTGCCGCATTCTCTTTGGCGGCCCCCCGCTGGTGTAACTTGTTGCTTCTGCAAGCAACAATTGGCACATTCTCTCTATCCCCTTTCTCTTTCCCGCTCATTCGATTCGCTCACTCAGTGCCTCTCTGGCTCTTTCTCGCTCTCTCTCACTCACTCACTCTCTGGGCATAAACAAGCCAAACGTTAGCCGGAAAACTAACACAAATTACAGGCAAAAGCAAAGAAAAAAACAATTAATACAGTTAAGTGCGAAGCAACAAATTCGGCTGCTGCTCGCTTGCTTTCCGATTTGTTTGATTTTCTTTTCTTTTTGCACATTTTTCGGCATACGCCGCTGTCTCTCTGTTTCTGCTGCTGCTGCTGTGGCGGCGCGTCCAAAGACGCTGCTTTGCTTCTCTTTATTCCCTTTTTTGGGTGTTGGACTCATATAACACCGTGCGAGAGTGGGAGAGAAGTAGTAAAATTTTTATAGCTGCACTCTTCACATGCACTGTGCTCTCCGCTCGCACAAGAAACACGCACGCACACTAACGCAATTGTCGCACTTATATTTTTACCGTGATTTTTAATGATTTTGTAATACGCGCGTTTATTGCTGAAGTATTCAATTGATTAGGCCGCTTTTTTCTCGGATAAACACACAAATTCTGCAGTTGCCACTGTTCAATTCGTCTCTATTTAGAGCCGCCGTGATTCATTTCACTTGACATTTAATGCTGCTGGCAGTGTGGCAGCCCAAAGTCGCCGCAAGAAAACCAAAATACCATCCATCACTTGCACTCGTCACACTTCTGGAGATTTACCTTTGCTAGCGATTCGCGAATAGGTTTCCCACTGAAGTTTCGTTTTTGCTTTGCAATAACAAAATTTGAATTGAACAGCTAGCTGAAGACTTTTCAGCCAAATGCGCCGACGTTCCAACTAGTTAAATAAATATTGCTATCGATATATCGATATATTTGTTGTTGACAATAGGTTTTCTGTTTGAACTAGCAAATATATTATTTTGTGAAAATTAATATAAAAATAAATTTTTGGGCAAATGGGCAATATTTTAAGGATGTTTTATTGGATAATTGATGCCCCTCTGCATTTGCTTTTGTAGCATCGATACATCGATATTTTTGTGCGATATGCTGAACTTTTTGGTGTTTTATTTGCTGCAGAGCTGCCACACTAAGCAGCTGCCTTTGCGGTTTCCATTTGAATTTCGGAACTTTTGCTGTTTGCTGGCTCGTTTTTTGTCCCTGAAATGGTATTAATTTACTTGTTTTAAGTGGGTAAGGCAGTAAACCGTGTGCACACACCTTTGTTTGTCATAAACAGACACTTTACCACCTCCACCATGGGATATTCCAGCAGCAGCGCCACAAAAGCCGCCAAGGCATGCGTCAAAACGAAGACGACCAAAACATTGCAAAACTAAGCAACAAAAAGGGAGAACTCTATAAAATGGTTAAGCCAACAAGTAAGAGTACTAACCAAGGAGAAACTAGTCACGTAGACGGGCTGCCGAAAGTATCCCGCAACGACGCGCAGGACGACAATGTGCCAGAGGAAAACTTGAAAGGAAAGCCTCGCCAGTGGACGGAAAACCGACAAGGAACAGAATCTATAAGCGATGCCTGCAAGCAAAAGGGTGAGTGAAAGTAACTAGCAGCTGCTGCCACACTCACCGCCCACTTTGCAGCACATAAAGTACACAAATCCTCCACAGATCAGCACCCAAAGGTTCCTGTAGAGACCCGCATAGAGGGCCAGCCACAGCGAAGGCTTCTCAAAGTCATGCTTGATGAAGATGTAGCCGGAGAGCAGCAGACCCAAGGCAGCGGGCACCAGCAGCCACAGACCCAGCTCGTACTTGCGCTGACCGCGATGACTGACTCCACTCTGGCGCTGATGCAGGTAGAGATTGCCGCACAGGAAGCCCAGCAGATAGCCCGCCAGATTGGTGTAAAAGGGCGGATAAATCTGATAGAAAGTGTCCGATTCTCGAAAGTACAAGTAGCGATAGGTTCTAGAGAGGATCGGAGGATGAGCGAGGATGGCAGGCAGCGAGGAAAACTCACTCTGGGCGCAGATGATAGACGGCATCCAGCTTGAGGAGATACGTGAGGACAGCAGGCACACCGAAAGCGGACAGCAGGAGCGCCACATACATGGGCTTGGTCAGCAAAGGATGCCTGAAAGGAGACTCTAGAGAGTGAGTGGCAGATGGCAGAGCTTCCACCTACTTTTTGCTGATAATAATAACAATCAGAAAGAGCTCAAAGAGCTGCATGTCCGCTGCCAAGTACCAGGTCTGATGGGAGCACTGCAAGAGGCCAGCAAAGGATCAGTGCAAGGCTCAGGGAATGGCTCAGGGAATACCCACACTATCCTCCATCATGTGATTGGTCACAAAGAGGACATTCTTCCACCAGTTTGTGCGGCAAAAGACGCGCTCCGCCTCCGTGAGATGCCGCCAAAAGGGTCCACTCTGCAGGCGCACCAAAAACGAGCCATTGAACAGGATCAGCGCCAGCAGCGAGGGCAACAGCCTAAAATATCTGTAGAAAAACACACGAAAGTAAACGGCAATGCAGTCGAGAATGCCCGACTCTGGATGCACCAACTGGCGACTGGTAAAGTTCACATAGAGCAGAAATCCGCTCAACACAAAGAAGATCTGAATGAAGACGCTGCCGTTCTGGAAGATGGCCGTCTCGAAGCGGTAGAGGAACTGCTCGTAGAACTCGGGATTCTCTATTTGCACCGTCATAAAAACCATCAGCGTGTGGCCCAAGATCACAACGAAAACGCCGATCACGCGGAAGGCGTCGAAGAAACGAATATCGCGTGCAAAGTCACTGCCATGGGGCAGGGTCAGCCGGTAGTAGTTGCGCAGCAGCGAGAAGGAGGTCAGCAGTTGGTCATCTATGAAGATCAAAGCACAATAATGAGCAGAAACACACCCCAAGGGCACGATCTACCTACGCCATTGCTGCGGGCACTGCTGATAGAAGTGGTTGCCGGTCTGCGCGTTGCGCTTGCGCAGCAAATGATCGTAGAGACTGGAGCAGACAGTGAGCAGCAGTAGGGCAGCCAGCAGCGCATAAACAATCAGATCGAGAGCATCTGCAGGCCAAATGGAAGGCAGATTAAACCCAATTCCACGTAGAACTGTTTGAGCTACTTGCCATGCGGCAAACTCTCGCCCGACTTCACGCAATATTCAATGAGGCTGCGCACACGCAATGAAAACTTCTGCCCAAACTCCTGATTCAAGCAGCTATTAACCAGCGGATCGTTGAGCAGGCGCTCCTCCGCTGAGCGTCCATGCACTCTGGAGTAGTAGGAGCTCAGCTCCACATCCTGCACTCCGCCGTCGTACAACTGCTGCAGATCCAGCTGACAGCGCTCCAGGCAGACGCCGCGGAGCAAACGATCGTGCCGAAAGCGATGCTTGACATCCAGCGAGAGATCTTCGATTTGTTGCCACAGCTTGGAGCTGGCATTCGGCACGATTTCGGCATAGACCAGGCAGTAGCTACGCGAGTCGCTGGCCAGACACACATCGTAGTCGTCTAGCTGGTAGAGCGCAGGCAGCCGCTTGTACAGAGTCACTGCGGAAGCATCCTGGCATCGATAATACTTCCGGGAACAAAAACTGAAACTTACAATTGAAATGATCGAAGGTCTGGGCCAGATGGAGTGAGGCTAGTAGAGCCAGCGACTGCAGCAAGCGTAGCATCTTGGGTAGCACTCCAAGATCAACTATTGGCAATCTCTGATCGATTGGCATTTGATACACAATCACCGATTGCATGTTGCTCCATCACGCTTGCCTGCGTTTCTCCTATTTTCTATGAATTACGCGAAGTTGACAGCTAAACAACAGCTATTAAAGGCCCAAGCGACGATTATCTTATTTTATTTCTTAGCATTGAGGCTGCTAAGTGCAGGCAAAGATCAGCACTCAGAACTCAGATCAGAGTCTCCAGCGCATCAGCGTGGAATTGGTTTAAATGTTGTCAAAGGATTTCCAAAGTTTAATTTATTGTGTGCAGTCTTTAAAGCTTCAAAATGCGACCCGCAAAGTGTGCTGTCGTGTCCTTGCTTAGAATATAAAACTGAAAGGGATGCACGGCATGGAAGCGTGTGGGTTCCGGCTGTATCCGGGGCATCCGAAAACGCATCATTAATATGGCTGCAAAGTGATCGAGGATCGAACATGGAATTACATTTGTTTTGTCTCAGATTTTGTGCACTCTTGTTAGTTGTATAAAAGATAAATGAAGGAAGGATTATGCCCTTATTCAGTGCCAAAGCTGGAAAGGTTGAGGGTAGCCCGCATGCAGGATTTGTGTTTAGATTGTTAGCTGCTTGCCAGCAAAGAGTATGGTTGAGTCCTTGTTGATAATGTAATAATTAAATGGATGATCGGCATAGAAACGTATGGGCTGCGGCTGGAACATGGCCATCGAGCACATCATGACAGCGATGCCTGGAAACAAAGCAGAAAGACAGAACAGACCCATGATTGAAGGTACAAGTATTAGAGGCTAGAGGTTAGAAATGAAACGAAGGATTAGACTTGAGAATAAAGATGAACTTTAACTAATTTCTAGCTGAACAAAAGCAGAACCCCACACAGGACAAATGTTATTAATTAACTTACGCAACCCTTACCTAAAAAACTTTCAAATTACTTTAGTACAAAATATTTCGAGCTGCCTTTATTGTTTTCACATTGACTGAGCGAGAGCTAAGCTACTCTGTGAGAGAGAGAGAGAGTCGCTATCATAACTCGTTGTGCGCTGCTACGGCCTCGCCCTCGAGCTGCACCACAGAGCCCCAGAAGAGTGGCAAGTCCGCACGATGGAGCAGAGCATAGATGAATGGATGATCGGCATGGAACTCGATGGGTTCCACTAATGGGACAATGCAGCGCCTCATACGCACCACGGCGCCTGTCGGGGAAAAGACGAAACACAATAGACACAGACACAGAGAGCAGGCAAATGCAGATGATAATGGAATGATTTTGATTGCTGAACGTTGAATCGAATATGAAATTCGATGAGCACTCACCAGTGGCTGCTGCTGCCTCGGTGCCCTCCTCATTCACATCGATAAAGGCCTTATGGATGATGACTGACACCTTCAGCTGCTCGGGACTCTGCAGCATTTTGTTGAACTCCGCAGAGTCGCCAAACAACTTGGACATGCCGAGCTGAGGGAGAGATAAAGTAAACATTAGCTGTGACTTGGCTATAAGATTTATCTCCTCCCACCTGCTGGAACACCTCCGACAGCTCCACCTGGAACTCTGCCTTGAATTTGGGCAGCTTCACCACCACCTCGGTCGTCTGCAGCGACTGTGTGATCACCGACAGCGGCGTACCGCGCAGCTTCTCCTCCAGCGCAGGCAAACCAGTCCGGCTATTGGGCAGCACAATCAGCATGGACAGGTCCGAGTTCGCGTAGGGCAGCTCCAGCGCAGCGGCATCCAGTTCGGGCAGCTCCGCGTAGCGGAATTTCTGCTTCAAGTTCATCATTGGCACCTTGGTGCTCTGACCCTCGCTCGAGTGGAACAGCTCCTGCTGTGTGGCATGCTGCGGGAACTTGTGCTCCCAGGTGCCCTTGAAGTGAATGGCATTGACCAGCACGAGGCGAGAGTTGGCGTCCAGTGCGCTGGCAGGCATCAAATCTTTGATTAGATTATTGGTACGCTGCTCCACCCACGCATTGATGGTGCCCGCTGCCTCGGCGCTTTGGGCAAAGTTTATGCTCTGCGCAGCCGAGAGGAAGTCCTTGGTCAGCAGCTGGTTGAACTCCTCGCGCAGCGGATAGCCCTCCATCACGAACACCTTGTTGGCTATGTGCAGGATCGGGCTGTTCTCGTAGGCAGCCAGCACTTGATGGAAACTTTGGGCTATCTTTGCCGCGTCACTGGAGACCAGTCCCAGGCCGCGGTCCAGCTCGGCGGCTGTCTCTCCGTCGGCACCCATGCGGGCCATGGCCGCGCATGTTTGTATGGAGAAGGGGGAGAAGACCACATTCTGGCCTGGCTTCAGCAGCGACAACTTCTGGTACACATTGAGCGAGAAGATGGCCAGCCGGCGTGAGAATTCCGTTTCTGTGGGCTGCGTCATGGTGACGTCACTGGTGGCCTGAACCGGCACGACGCACGGGACTTGGGAGAGGGTGAGGAAGAGCAACGAGAGCAGCCAGCAAGCTGCAAGCGAAAAAGAGATGGAATGAGCTTTGATTTCACATGATAATTGCTAAAATTTATGTAATTGTTGTGGACCGCCGCGATGAGTCACCTCCACAAATGTTTGTCACTGTTCCACTCGGTTTTGCCGTCTCGATGGGAATTTATACGCCTCTTCTATCGGAAATATTTATTGCCTGCGTCCCGCTAACTGTTGATTTTGAGCTTTCTCCAGCAGAGTGTTCCGTTCCCCTTCTTCCTTTTCGCTTTGTTTGTTGTTTGCTTTGGCCTGTTGTTTGCGCGTTCTTGCTTGGTTCCAAATGAATGCTCTCTCCGCTTGCTCATTGATTTTATGCTTTTATATCTGGCCACACCACAACAACAAGTCGTTCTCTTATCGCTCACACATATGCAAGTGCATGTGTATATCCAAAGCTCTCTTTGCAATTAAATTCGTTTCACACCGCAACACACTCTAAACCTGTTCCTCTCTCTTTGTGTTTACACCCACTGCTGGCTCTCTTAAGCAGCTTGCTAGCGCGCTCTCTTGCGTTTCCCCCTTACCATTTATTTCCGTTCGTTTATGCATTCTCAAAGGTGTAATTTTCTACGGCTAATTACTATATTCAATCAACCTATTTCCACAAATGCACGTTTCACACTGACTTCAGTTTGCTCTTGTTATCAGCCCAAGTCGGGTTTCGGTTCCATTCCCACAGCGAGCTAAGCTTAAATATTCATAGAATGCTGATAAGAGCAAAAAATACCCAATGTTATTGTTTTCACCGTTTGGAAAAGGGAACTTTGTGTACACTGATAAGAGTTTAATTATTATTACAAATACTTCAGGTTGCCCCGCCAGCCGTAAATCGTCCCACAAAGAGTATTCCCTGACGGCGATCACAAATCGCATAGTAGAACGGTCTGTTGGCGTGAAAGAGCTTTGGTCGATCCACTGGCGTTACGGGCAAGCTACGCAGAGACACAACGGCAGCTAAAGGAAAAAGAGGAAAGAAAGAGAAAGTAGCGTCAGATGCAAGCAGGCAGAACCACCCCAAGAGAAGTCCTCTCACCCGTTGCGGCGGCTGCCTCCGTGCCCACTTCGTTGACGTCTATGAAAGCTTTGTGCAATATTTGGGAGACCTTTATGGCCGCCTGGGATTCCAGCAGCTGTCCCAGCTCCGCTTCGTCGCTGAATATGCGCTTTATGCCCAGCTAAAAAGGAGTCAAGTTAATCAGTGCAGCAACAGTTTGCCCACAGGTTTACCTTTTTAAAGGCTGAAGACAACTCCTGCTCGAACTCCACTCGAAACTTTGGCAGCCTGACATCCACTTTGGTGCGCGACATTTGCCCAGCGATGACCTGTAAGGAAGAGCTCGCCAGCCGCTGCTCCACACTCTTCAGACCCGCATTCTCGTTGGGCAAAATAATAATCATGCACAGATCGCAGTCTGTGTACAACATTTTGATGGCCGTGGCACCCAGTTGGGGCAGTTCTGCGTACAGAAAATTATGCACAACCTTCATCATGGACACCTTGAAGGGTTTGCCCTGCTCTGGGAAGAAATCCTCCTGCTGCGTGTCCTCCTCATCGAATTTAATAGACCAAACGCCCTTGAAGTAAATGGCATTGACCAGCACCAGGCGAGTGCCGTCGTTCAAGGCTGCCGGGCTGACAATGTTCTGGATGAGCTTGTTGGTCTCCTGCTCCACCCAACTGTTGATGCTGTCAGCAGCTGAGCTGCTACCAAAGTCCAGGATCTGCGGCTTCGAGTGGAACTTCTTCTCTAGCAAGCTGGCAAAACGCTGATTGGGCTTGCAATTCTTTTGGATGAACAATCTGTTGGCCAGCTTCAGGGCCCTGCATTTACGAAGGGAGGAGAGTGCAGCCTCAAAGCCATCGGCAATCTTGTCCACATTGCTGCTACTCAGCCGCAGTCCCTCATCCAGTTCCCTGGCAGTGGCTGTGCCCTCCTCCGCGCCCATGCGCACCATGGCCACGCACATTTGTATGGACAGCGGTGAGTAGATGAGATTCTTGCCGGGATTTGCAGTGCTTAAAAGCTCATGCAGGGCATGTGAGAATTGCTCCAGCTGTTTGTTGCCGCTGGGATCTGTCATCGTCATTCGTTGAAGCTTTCTGCGAGCTTTCAGACTCTATGATAATAGCAGCAAAATTTCACAGTTACCGAATGATACTCTCTCTCTCTTTATCTCTCTTTATTTTCCCTCTTTTGCGCGCTCTAGCACCTGCTTCCTCTCTCTCTCTCTCTTGGAATTTATCTAATCGGGAGCGCTGGGGATCTGAGTCACAATTGATGACCACCACCCACTCCCGCTGTGCGTTCGTTAGTCAGCCCCCGCCACGACAGCCGAACACTCGCCCCTGAGCACTCCTCCTCGATTTTGTTTTCAATATTTAATTATATTTCTATCTGCTCATTGAAGAAGTAAGGTACGTAAACAATCAATAAGACAGGTCTCGGTGCTCACCTGCTGAAGCCAATCAAAACTGTTATCTGTGTGGAAGCGTCAACAACTTTTGCCTTTCATTAACTGCCAGCAGATATTCTGTGGATTATCGCACACAGCCAGAACAAACAACAAACAAATTGATTCCAAAATTGACAGTTATTTCCAATTACATTTTGGCCTAGCAAATTAAAGGGGTTTTACGAGTGCTTGGGAAGCTGTTTAGCTTTCTGATTTATCAACAATTGTGGCAATCATTTAATTAATTTATTAGTTTACGCAGTTCTGCCACATAAGCTAATTTTCGGATTTAATCAAAACAAATGAGAATTAATGGGCGCAAATGGAATTTCACTGGACTAAATGTGAACATAATTGCAGTTAAAAATTGAGAAAAAAAAATGCTTAAAAATTTTACCAAACAAAAGTGGATTACCAGATTTGAGCGAGGCATTAAAAAGGGATTTAAATGCTAATTATTATTATCAACAACAAACTGCAGCTGAGCAACGATTAAAAATTAAGCCAAATGTCCCGCAGAGAAGATTCTGAGGCAGATGCAAGTGCCAGTCCAGATCAAGGTGAATTTACTTATAAGGTTCGGACGTTCTCCACTGACTTATTCACCACGCGCAGAGACAAGCGATAGAAAGGGATAAAGATAGAGTATTGGTTCACGAAGGAGATTGCCCCGTGGTGAAGACGTCAGCTTGTAAGTAAATTTAGCTTGGGCAAGAACCAGGGCGAAGGAAATTTCACCATTTCACCTTCCCTGTAGCTCCTTGACATTTAAAACTTTGACTGAAAAAACACACAAAATAAAAAAAAAATAAATAAAAATAAAACCCTTTTCTTGCTTGCAGATGTCACTGGCCGTGGATAGCCGCAATCAGTTTGCCCGTCAACTGGTGGCTGCCATTACCAAGCATGCCCTCGAGCAGCGCACGGAGCAGGGCGTCAATGTCGTCATCTCGCCGGCGTCCATACAGAGCTGCCTGACGCTGGCCTTTATGGCGGCATCCGGCACGACGGCGGAGGAGCTGCGGCAGGGCCTGCACCTCGGACCAGGCGACAGCGCACACATTGCACGTTCCTTTGGCGAATTCTGGAAAACCAGCTGCAACTATGGCATGAAGGGACCCGTGCTGAAGTCCGTCAATCGTTTGTACGTCAACGAAACGCTGGAACTGCAGCCAGAGTTCAATGCGGTGGCCGGTGACTTCTTTCAGGCAAAGGCTGAGCCCGTCAAGTTCGCCGATGCGCTGGCCGTGACGGAGCAAATCAATGCCTGGGTGAAGGAGCAAACGGATGACAAAATCCGAGAGCTGCTGCAGTCGGATGCCGTCAATCAGGACACCAGTGCGGTGCTCATCAATGCGCTGTACTTCAAGGGCAAGTGGCGGAAACCCTTCATGCCCGAGACCACGCAGCCGGATGACTTCAGCTTGAATCTGCGCGATCGCGTCAAGGTGGACATGATGTACCAGGAGGACAAGTTCAAGTATGTCGAGCTGCCGCACCTGCAGGCACGCGCTGTGCAGCTGCCCTACGAGCACTCGAACATTTCCATGTTGATTCTGCTGCCGGACACCACGTGCGGCTTGCTGGAGCTGGAGCAGCGTCTGCAGTCGGTGGATCTGGCTGACATTGAGGCTGCCATGACGCTGGAGGATGTGGACATAGCGCTGCCCAAGTTGACCCTCGAATTTGATGTGGATCTCAAGGAGGTGCTCCTGCAGGTGAGTGGCAGCCGGGAGCTGTGGAGACACTCAACTGATTCCCTGTCTTCCCTTGCAGCTGGGCATATCCGAGATCTTTGGCAATCAGGCCAAGCTGGACAGACTCTTTACGACAAAGACGGGCCAGAAAATATCAGCAGCCAGGCATCGCGGCTACATTAGCATCAACGAAGCGGGCTCTGAGGCAGCGGCGGCGACATGTGAGTGGCGGGAAAACACGCAGCCCAATTCCAGCTAATCTTTCCTCTTTGCAGTCATGAAAGTTGTGCCCATGAGTCTGAACATGCAGACGAAAGCATTCCGTGTGGATCATCCATTCCTCTTCTATATACGCAGCTCTGAGGCTGTTTTTTTCGCCGGTCGCGTCGTCAGTCCCAGTCAACCGAAGAGCGACACGAGTCGCGCTAGTCTTAGCCAAGAGTCCAGAGAGTAAATAATAAAAAAAGTTAATTGAAAAAAGTCACTCACTCACTCACTCAATCGTTTCACTCGTTTCGAGCTGCAGCTGCTAGTCTCTGAACAGTTTATAGACAGACTCAACGGCGAATAGTTCTCGGAAGAAATGAGTTTCTACTTGCTGCAGGCTTTGCATTGCTCTTGGGAGCCTTGGTGGCTGCTCAAGCCGGGGAAGAGCTCTACCAGCAAGCTGTGAATGAACGTTTCAGCCTGAAGGAGGAGGACTCTCTCTCTCTCTCACATTGCAGCTGGGCGTACGAGAGCTTTTCGCCGATGACTCCGATCTGAGCGAATTGTTTGCTAGCGGAGGGAGCGGAGGGAGCGGAGGCCACTGCTGCCTGTACGTAGCGTCGCGATTCGCTTATCAGCCCAGTCCGATTATAATTACTGCTTCCCGATTATATTTATTTATTTATTTATGTATGTATTTTGGTGGTGATTGCCAGACGAAATGATTACCAATCGAGCGGCTTTCAGCATGTCGTTTCATTTCGATCATCCCTTTGCCTTTGTCATACGCGATGAGAGAACGATCTACTTTCAGGGTCATGTGGTCAAGCCATAAGCTACATATGTAAGTATGTATTTATGTATGTACGGATGTCAAATAAAATGAAAGTACATGCACGAGAAGTTCCTTTGCGTAATTTTAATTTATGTACTTTCTTTTTCTACTTCTAAGTGAAGATAGAAAGAATTTGGTTTATGCTGTAATTGTAAACAAAGTGGCATCACCGCATATCAACAACAGAGCACAAGTGGTGAGAGCATAAGAAGAGAGAGCACAAGAGAGATCGTGCGCATGAAGCAATTATAGAAGTAGGGCCCGTCGGCAAAATAAGGGAAACGTAACAATGCTGTCAATAAGTGCGAGTGAAGGGGCTCTGCGCTGTAGGTGTGAGTGAAACGACAATGGAGTGTGCGTCCAATTTTCCGCGACGACAGGCAAACAAGAGGAAATGACACCTCCTTCTATAATTGCTTCATGCGTGCGGGAGTGCGCGAGCAGAGTGCAAAACACCAAAAGAGAGTGACCGAAGCAATGCTCTTAAACGAACGCAGTAATTGTTGATCAAGCGAAAGAGAACATCGAATGGTTTAGTTTACCGTACGCTTAAACTTGTTTATACGCAAATGAAAATCAAATTATATAAAAGCAACACGGAACTCGGTTAGAATTCATTCAAGCATCATCATGTTTTCTAGCTCTACGCATAGTTCTTTTCCATTTCGTTACTCTTTTAAAACGCTCTTTAATGTCTTTTTACAGCACCCGAAAACACGCTCTCACTGCTGCTTCTGCTTTGCTCTTGTGCGGCAGATGGCGCTGATCGAGTTGGATGAGCTGGGATTCACAGCTGTGAGGGGCATAGAACGTTCAGCATTCAGCATTCAGCATTCAGCATGGAACAGGTGCAGCAAGGACACACAGAACACTTACTTTCTGGAACATGTTAACCAGCCGCAAGCTTACCAGTCAATAAATGTCAGTTGTTTGGGTGTCTCAAGTGCACACAGGGACGAACGGGTTTGTTGATTAGTTTCCGGCTTACAGTGGCTGTAATTAAACTCGCCAACGCGCTGCAGTTGACATTGGTTTGCCCTGGCCTTGGCGGGCACACGGCCAAGCTTGACAGTTGGGCAATATTGCAGCTGTTCCAGGGGCCCATAGATCAAAGCTAGTGTAGCCATCAATCTATGACAGGGCAGGAAGAGCAAATGGAGGAGCAAGACGAGCTGCTGCCACCGGTAAGTGCCTCAGTTTGGCCACGCAAATGGTCGAAATTGTGTTTGGCAATTTGCTGCAAGCACAGAGCACTTCTCATTCCGTTTTTTTGTTGTTGTGTGCCAAGTGCAGTTTGCTTTTTGTTGCCTACTTTTCAGGGCCAGCAAGGGTAGCTCCGCAGACACTTGACGAATGTGGATGCCAGCTAACAATTGGTTTGCCTGTCGGCTGCACTCTGATCTCTCGCTGCTCTCAGCTATTTTCTGCATATTTCTAAACAGGTGTAAATTCAATTTGACAACTTTTATGGCCCTCGGCACTCGTTGGCAGTTTTAATTCAATTTTGTTGGCCATAATTAAAGCTGATTGTTCGGCGTGTGGCAGCAAAAATGTCAATTAAATGCATGTCTCTGTTTGTCGCACTTCTTGCAGTTGCACAGCAAAATGCTCGCTAATTGGTGGCTAGGGCAATGCCGAAACTTCGACGGCGTTGTCCCGGCAACGCTTCGAGTTTCCGTCAGCAAATTGAAATTCAAATGACAAGGGCAGAGAGCAGCCGAGCAGCGGGAGAGCAGCAGGAGGTGTCGCCACCGCAGCTGTCTGTTGGCGAAATGAAAAGGAAATGCAACTCGCGATTTTGCAAATAAGAAAGGCCAGGTTGGGGGCCAGCTCGAATGCTGACTGTGACAAGGTGCGAGTGCTGCAACTGCGGCCTCCACCCAGTGGGATGGCTGCCTTTGACA